GGGAAATCATTAGAGTCATAGAATCAGATTGTTTGTATTTAGAATGTTTTAATTTTCTTATGTATGTTTACTTCTGTAAAGTACCAGACAATAATGCTTTTCTGTATCTCTTTCAGAAAAAGTCCCTAGAGTCCATAAACTCTAGGCTTCAGCTGGTTATGAAAAGTGGTAAATATGTACTAGGATACAAACAGACATTGAAAATGATTCGTCAGGGCAAAGCGAAGTTGGTCATCCTAGCCAACAACTGCCCTGCTTTGAGGTAAGCAGATGTATGAAAAAACTCTTTAAGACAGGTTCTTTATGCAAATACAGAGTGTACTTCATGTTAATTGCTTCTGTGAATTACTGATGCAGAGTGCTTTACTGGCATATTCCGGAGTGCTGTGAAATAAAAGTGATGGGGTCTTTGGTGTATGACAGTTTCAGGCCTGGAGGTGTTGAAATGCTTCCCAATTCAAAGAGTTCACACTAATAAAGATACTGGAAGCTTTTCACACTGTGGGAGCTGTCACTGAAAGTACAATGGGGCTGAATTCGTATGGGGTTTTTCATAGTAATGTGTTGGGAAATAATTTTACAGGTAGGAAAACTGGTAATTTACACTGATCTAAAGTATTTGAAGCACGTGAAATTTGCCATCCAAGTTACAAACTTAGGTTCTTGGCCAGTGAAATAGGTTTTTTGAGGATGAAATCTTTACTGAGTTCCCAACATCTCTCACAGAATTTCTGGGCCCTTGTTGTCATCAAGGGATATTGACAGATTTAAGAAACTGTAAATGCAGAAAACCAAAATTAGATGCTTGAGAAATGGCAGGACTGTCGCAGTAGGCAGCATTTTAATGGGGATCCCAAAAGTGCTTGAGGAACAGTATTGACCACTAGAACTTCCTGCTGGAAGTCAGAAGAGAAGAGAATTACTCTTAACAGGGGGTTTTTTGTGTTTTTGTTTTTTTTTTTTTGTTTGTTTGTTTGGTTGGTTTTTTTTAAGAAAGAATACCCATTTTCTTTCTTGGCCAGTAGCAGCCAGATCTCTGTTTAGAATCTGGCCACTGCATATCAGCATTAATAATGGCCATAGCTTGTGCACTTTGGCTTAGCTTCTACAACCTTTTGGAAGTCTGGAACTTCTGAATCTTCTTCTTCCCTGTAGAAATGAGCGTATGTGGGAGGAACCTGAAGGATTTGAACTCCAGAAGTGGGTTTGTGGTTTCGTACCTTCAGCATTCTTCTGGATAAGGGTTCTTGAGCTACAACACAGTAGCGATGTTTGGCAAGGAACAGATATTTTTCTGGGTGGGAAGGAAAACTGCATAAGTTTAAGTGCGGTTGGAGTTGAAGCTGTTCTCGCTGTATTACAGTTGGTGAGAATAGTGTCAGTGAGCTCTAACACTAGTGTTTGAATTTCAGAAAATCAGAGATTGAGTACTACGCTATGCTCGCCAAGACTGGTGTCCACCACTATAGCGGCAACAACATTGAATTGGGCACAGCATGTGGAAAGTACTACAGGGTGTGCACGCTGGCTATCATTGACCCAGGTATGTCTTCGCCAGTGTAGTGACCAAGTGCGTATGTATTGGTGGTTCCTCTGTTCACCTGCAAGTAGCAGCACTGAGCAACTGACATGTAGGTGCGATGACACACTTCATTGAAGTGTCAGGTTTAACTCTTAATTATAATTTTCTCTGACCAAAATCCTGTTCTTTTGTGAGTCGTAGGTTCTTAGAACCTGGAATGACTGCTGCTTATGTTTGCACTATGCTCCTTTTAATGCTAAACCCTGTGAGCCTCAGTTTTGTCTACCTGTTGGACTTAATGAGGTTTCAGTGGCTGGGAAGCAACTTTATGGTATGTGTTTCTGAGCCCATCAGCTAGAATATAAGCTTTTGCAACATGCTGCTTCCATCAACGTGTTTGACTGTTCTCGATCTGAGGCAAAGGATTGTGAGTTGTCCTGCTGCCCAGAATGATATATACAAAAATAACCTGTATGTAGGTGGGTACTAATCCAGGACTGAAAATTATATTAAATATTTTATTTTAAATCTGTAAGTCCGTGTGTAATTACTCTGGTTTGGAAGCAGTTTTTGTCCCAGAGAGGTGTTCAAATTCCTAGACTGCTAATGAGGTGACTTATCCTCTTTCCAGAATCTTCTAAGAGAAGAATCAGTCTTCTGTTCCCAAAATGCATACACATGGATTTAATGATTTCTGTAATAACTTCCCCCACATGTTCCCCAAGTGAAATAGTTTTGAATTTGCTGTTTCCTCAGAAGACTTTATTTAGCTTGCTTGTATTCAAGTCTTAGCTGCAAACTTAACTTTTAAAATGTTACTTCTAAGTTTGTTTTTGAGTGGGGAAGGAACTGCAAGTAAATGTTACTGCTGTGTAATGGAATGCGAATATTCTCGCTGTCCTGATATTGTCGTGATCAGGGGAGGCTAGACATTCGCTATATTAAAACTATGCATTGTGTCCTCCAGGACTGGATTGCTGCTCCAGTACTGGCCTTGTAAATGCTAGTGACAGAAACATAATTATTATAAAAGAATTTTGTATGGATTAGCAAAATACAGTTCCAAGTATTTCCTACCAAGCCATCAAAATACTGTTTTTTCTGAACAGAATGTCTTCGTATTGCTTTTAACTTGTTTTCTATTTGTAGAATGAGGGTGGTTCAGGTTTTTGTGGTTGTTTATGGATTACTTCTGAAAACAGCCCTTTCTGTGGGTCCTTTTGTAACAATGCATTTCTGTTTTACAGGTGACTCTGACATCATCAGAAGCATGCCAGAACAAACCAGCGAGAAGTAAATGCTGTAAAGGAGTTATTTCTACAATAAAACTGGTTACAGATCCATTTTAAGAAAAATTTGTATTATAACATGGTTGGTTTTAGGGCACAAACTTTATAAAGGAAGATTCTTTACCACTGCTGTTTCCTGTTCTGTTAGAAATAACCTTCACAGGACAAAACCTGCCTGTTTCTTTCTCTAGAAATTGTGGGTCTTGAGAGGTAAGTGGAGGAGGATGTAATCACGGGAAGTATGGTGCCAAATCTCAGCAGGCTAGTGCTTCCGTGCTTTTTGGGTTTGGAGTGTTAATGCAAAAACAAGGCATCATGTGAAGTACAAGCAAATTTGAGATGTTGGTGGGGGATCCCATAATGTTTACTTAAAAAATTCCCACTCCTAAGTCAATCACAAAGTACTAATGCAAGTTATCCCCTTTTCTTTTCTTTCCAAGAGAATATGCATCTGTCAAGTGGTAAATAAGATGGCTAGTTGCTAGACATGATGTATAACAACATACTTCCAGTAAAATGCCAGTTAACTTCTCAAAGCTGATTTTAAATTGGTCACTTTTTTAGCATTTTGAATACAAACTCATCTGTATCTAACAATATCTTCAAGTCACTGTTGCTGAGGACTCTGCTGTCTTACAGATTTGTGCCCGTTTTGTGTGAGATCATGACTGCAGGACCTTGTTACTGATTACTGAGGTGCCAGTGTTTTGCTGACATGCAGTAGAAGAAACACCTAATGAAAGCCAGTATGTACCAGTATCCTTGCAGAACTTGCATTTGTTGGCCAAAGTATGCCAAAGCACAAGGTACCTTTTAAAACTTGTTGCTTTGTATCCATGCACGCTCATGAGCTTATCTGAGATCACTTAGTCTAGTTTGCTATAACTACTTCAGGTATGGAATGGATGAAGCTGTGTATTTTTATTTGGAGACAGTAAAGAGACAAACCAGTGTGTGTCAAAGCAAAGGCGGAAGTGCTGCTGTCTCCCCCTGTTAAACCACAGATTTGGGTCAGTTCAAGATAGCTTAGATATTGCTTTGTGGAATCTCACTGCAGCTGTTAGTGTGATGGTAAAGCCAGAAGTATGCTACAGCTGCAACGGGGAAATGGTGAAAATTAGCTTCAGTTGGCCAGTGTGGCTGGAAGCAGTTTACTGTTTTCATTTGTCTGAGGCACAAACAGGCCTGCTGCTAGTTGTGTTACTCAAAAAACATCTTCAGAATTAAAATGCTAGTTGCATTTAAGAAAATCAATGCTGAGCAAGGAACAGCAGGGAGAAGTTACATGGTCTGGATGTGGTAAGAGAAAAAGTACTTGAAACCTCCTATTACGATACCTGATAATCCAGCAGCATCCCACTTTCATCACAGTTTCAACGCAAATTTGTATTTTTACTTCCAGCTGATGTCAGTAGTTGACTGCTGTTGGAAGATTGTAAGTGAAACCTAATTGCTGTGAATGCTGTCCCACATCTTCTCTGTGTGTGTATATATATATAAAAATATATAAAATATATATCCACACAGACAGGGATGCTTAAAATACGCGCAGAGGGGGTAGAGGAGAGAAATACAGAAAAGCAAGTCAAATAAATTCATACCCTGAAAGTACTTCAAAACAGAGGTTTCACTTCAAAAAATAACAACATTTTATTGTTTTGCATAGCTTATTTCAGTTTAGTTCTGCTTAATTAGAATTTTTGCTGGTTATTAAATCGTTTATATATAGAAAATTTTCAACATTTTTTATCTGCAATCAATGCAAGACAGAACACATAGTATATAGATGCAGGAATCCAAAATACTCTTTTCAACTTCAGACACAAGGATTTGTTATTTTACTTAGAATCAGTTTAAGAAAATAGCTCTGACAAGTTTGTATGTATAAATATACAGTGTAGTATATCCTTCAAATTTTGGTCAGTATTTTAGCCTGTTTTCCAAGTCTTCCATTCTCTTTGTCATTTCTTCCAGTAGACAAAAGTTAAGGAAAGAGAACTACTGACAGGATGCATTAATAGAAAAGAGGTGTCAGCTGCCCTATTGCTGTGGACTGTAAATTTGCAGTTCTTTCTCCTCTTTGTTGCCCTCTATGACTCCCAGTAGTTTCTGGTAGAATATTCCCTGTATTTTACTGTTCTGCTTTGAACAGCTGAGAAAGCTGCTTGAAGCCCTATTCATTAACTGGCATACCTTGATGTGAAGTCCAGGCTGCAGCTTATGGAAAAGGCAGGTATTTCAGAAAGCTGGCCATTTCCCTCTATTTTAAAGGGAAGCTAAATACCCTAGTTAATGGAGTTTTAAAAGTGTTTTCATCACATGGAAAACTACATGTAAGCTAACAGTAGATTTTAAAACTGCACGGAGCTCCCTGGCTGCAGAAAGAATGACTGCTGATGATCCTGCATTCCAGCCCTGTGGTGGTGTAGTGCAGGGCCTGTGGTTTCCAGCCATATATAGAGCACAAGCTCCACAGGATCTAGGGCTGGCCCTGCTGTGTGCATGCTAGCATCATTTGAGCTGCTTTCTGTGTAGCATCTATGTAGCATTGCTCAGGTGTTTACAGAGGCAAAGTTCAAGCAGTAGAAAGTGCATTCATCTACCGATAAAAAGAAGTTAAATGTAGTGGGATACAAATCATTAACAGCTTAGATTGGTCCCTTTAAATATATATGTTGTAACAAGCTAGTTTTGTAGCCAGGTCTCATCCCTCCCCACAGATCCCTGGGATGCGGACTAGTCAGCAGTCTTAGAATCATAGAATCATAGAATAGTTAGGGTTGGAAAGGACCTTAAGATCATCTAGTTCCAACCCCGCTGCCTTCTCCAGTTACCAAGAACTAGTATGTTACTCAGTATCTGAGCTGCTCTTCAGATAAGGCAGGTTTGTAGAGAGGCAACTGGATGGTTCTTACTCTGTTCACAGCAGTGGTTGCCCAGTACTGGGGAGGTACTTGGCACTGGTCCTTCCTATAAAAATGTCTAGGTCTCTGGCTCGGCATCAGCAGATTTTCCATCGCCTTAAGCCCTTCTCAGACTCTACAGAGTTGCCTGCTCAAATTGTAGAGAAAAAAAAAAAAGCCCATGTTGCTAAGCTCTGTTTTCTTTGATCCTGAGTAAACTGAGTTTCTTGCAGCAGAGCTGCAGGAGATTACAGTAAAGAGGCTAAGGCTTCTGCTTAAGGGGGGAAGAGTGGTGGTCTCCTTTCTTCTCATTCACCATTTAGATTGGAACTGTGGATAATGGTCTTAAGGATATGGGAAATGACTTAGAGGTTTTTTGCTGAAGTCATTTAGGGACTTCGGAGAAGACCCTTGATGAGTATTTGAAGCACCCAGCAAGAACCTTTTGTGATGGTTTCCTTCCCATTTATGAAGTAATTCTACTTTTAGCATGGAATAACTTAAAATCAGTCAAGTGATCAGAACATGATTCCTTAAGCTAGCTGCTGAAGGATTCACTTGGGAAGGTGAGGGAGAGTGAGGGTGCCTGCTGCAGTTACTCGCAATGGCTGGAGGTAAAGCGAGGCCTGTGTTGGCCTGACTGGACAGCCTGGTAACTCTGCAGGTTCCTCAGTCTTAAGCTGTTCTTGTCTAGGGAGCACACAGTTACAAGCTGTTGTCATTGCTGTACTCTGCAGGAAATAAATGCTTACTGGTCTTGCATGTGGTTAGAAAACTTAAATAGAAAATGAGACGTTATCTTGCTATGTATTTGATGAGGCAGAAGCAGCTTTCATAAAGAAAATACAGGAATTTGCTGCATGATGTAAAACATGACAGAAGGTTGTCTTGCTCGTTTGCTGCTGTTGTGTCCTGAGACATCTGGTGGGTGTTACAGGTAGTGTGAAAGTATTGTTTTAAAGACTTCCTCTGGTGCTTCTCCAAGCAGTTCAGAAGAAAAACATCTCCTGTATTCTGACTCCTGCAGCCAGTAAATGCTATTTCAAGACCATCTGAAGAAATAACCCAAAGCCAAGAGTGTTAGCCTTGAATTTGACCAGTCATTTCTTTGCTGAAGGTGTTTACTGCCAGGATCCTTATTAATACTTAGTTCCTTCTATGGAGGAGAGGCAGATTTCAAGTTTTAAAAGCCTTGCTTCTTGGAGATTAACATGAGCTTTTCATTACAGTAGATTGATTTGAGCTATGGTGACAGCTTAGACTTAATGTGTTAGGATTATGGTTTCTTTTAACCTGACCCCCTTGTCTTATGTGTAAGAATTACTGTGAAAGGATATATCGCTGGGTGAGTTTTCTTACTTCATTGGTTGCATAGTTCTGGAATGTCACAAGGTTTTCACATTTGCACTGGTCTTTATCTTTTGAAGCTTTTGCTGAAAAACAGAAACAGTCAAGCATAGGCTAAATGCTGAATAAATCAAATGGGATGGGGGAGGAAATGACAAGGATTTATAGATGCAGAGCAGGTTTAATACAGCTTCCTGTTCTCAAAACGGGTCAACATCCAAAGGAATGCTCTGGGGCAGATCTTGTAAATACTGGGAAATGGTACCTAACACTTATGCCTATATATTCAAAGAGCAGTCTGGATTATACTAAGCAAAGGTAACTTCATTACCTGTTGTTCTTGCTGAGTGAGTGTGACTGTCTTCAAAAAGATACTTGTGGTGTATTGCAAGATCGGGACAGGCAATGACATCTGTGATGGCTACTGTGGTTGATTCAGGTCCTGCAGGAAACCCCCCAAAAGTCTAAAAATTAAACCCACTTCACTTAATTATACAGTTGTATTCTTTTTTTTTTTTTCCTACTCCAGTGCACCAACTTCTTAATTAGTGAGTCATCTCACTGATTGCAATGAGGATCATTCACGGAGAGGACTAGGGATGTAAAGAAGTGAAGGAACTGAGCTGTTAGGCTGTATTTACTGTATACGTGATTTAAGTTGTGAAGGTTCCTGTGAGAAACAGAAGTGACTAAAAGCTGAACATGCTTTAAAATACCAAGCAGTGTGTTGAAACACAAGTTTCCCCATGAAATAATTCACTTGGATGGTGTAAGAAGCATGCAGCCATGCATTTGTTACAGTGAATCTCCAATATTTTGTACAAAGTAGGTATGGGTTGCAGAAAGGAGTGGGGTAGGCGGGGGAATGGGATGAAC